GGCTATGAACTTTACATGTTTTGGATGTCTATATACGATTATATCTCGCTAGTGAATTTCTAATGGCTTGATATTGTTTATTTTACCTGCTTTGAGAATTGTAGATTCATGGTTTCAAGTGGGATTTGTTCTGACCACTGGTATCAACAGTGCATATGTGCTGGGATATTCTGGTGCTGTCATGGTTCCTCTCGGTTGGATAGGAGGCGTGATAGGTTTAATTTTAGCCACAGCCATTTCGCTTTATGCAAATTCTCTTGTTGCCAAGCTCCACGAATTTGGTGGGAGGAGGCATATCAGATACAGAGACCTTGCAGGATTTATATATGGTAAGAACAGAAAAAACTAGAGGCAAATGAAAATAAAAATGGACATGAATTCTTTATATCAATCTGATTCCATTTGTCTCTTGACAGCTTGAAAGTGTATGATCTATTTAAAACTGCTTTCATTGAATTGAGCCTTTCACTGTTGCAGGTCCGAATGCTTATTCTCTTACATGGGCATTCCAATATGTGAACCTTTTTATGATTAACACTGGATATATCATTTTGGCTGGTCAGGCTCTAAAGGTGAGCTCAATTCAAAGGAATGTGTTCTTCTGACCCAACCACATCTACTAGAATCGCAAATATCTTGTTTGTGATCTTGATTATTGCTGGTTTTATTTGTTTACTTTGTCCATAAACTTCTCAAATTTCTGAAGTATTTCAATAAGTCTCAATGAGCTTCGTTATTTAAAACATGTTCTCCGTATTACTGCAGAAGGGGAGATATCATGATGAGATGCCAAAGCTTTTTGCTGAATACCTAATTTTGTTTATTTCATATGCAGGCTATCTATGTTCTGTTTAGGGATGACCATGTCATGAAGCTCCCATACTTTATTGCAATAGCTGGTTTTGCATGTGGCCTTTTTGCCATTGGGATACCCCATTTGTCAGCTTTAAGGGTTTGGCTGGGATTTTCAACATTCTTCAGTCTAGTGTATATCGTCACAACATTTGTGCTGTCTCTTCGAGATGGTTTGATCTCCTACTCTTCTTGATTGTCATTAATAATGTCCATAATGCTAGCTTTTATTAGAAACGCCAGGCATTTTGATTTAACTTTTCCGCGCGGGGGGGTTATCTGTTTCTTTTTATTTAACATGTATTATGGATGTTGTCATGATGACCAAAATTCCTAATTTTGCTAAATACTCAAGAAGAAATAGCATTGCTTCATGATTAATTTCCAATTAATGGGTTTTTCTGCCTTTCTAACCTCTATAGCACTGCCAAAAAAAAGCCCTTGGAATTAGATTTTGCTTCCATCATGGACACCAAATTGCTTGTTGTGTCAATGTTACCTAGGTTCCTGGGCTGTTATCTTGACAACCAACACAGAGCCATCTGCTCTACTTACCTAGTTGTTTGGGCCGAGAATTGTCTGGGAAAATTAATCATCTGGCTTTTCAGGGCTGCATTGACAAGCTTGCTATATGAAGAAAAATGTGATGCATTATTGTGTAGACTTCTTGTGTGCAATCAAGCAGCTTGGGCATGTTGTGATTGCAGAGGATAGATCCTCCAGGAGTTTAATTGGACATCCATATTCCATACATTATCATATTGTTAGAGTGATTATTCCTTTGCAGTTAGGTACGTCTTTGACTTCAAAATGACATTATTTATTTTCTATATTGCTATAGGAATTGAAGCTCCAGCCAGGGACTACAGCATTCCAGGAACAACAACGACCAAGATTTTTTCAACTATTGGTGCAGCTGCAAATACAGTTTTTGCATTCAATACAGGAATGCTTCCAGAGATACAGGTAGGCCAGAAATCCTTTTATGAGAATATCAGGCCAGCCATTACCTGATCTATGCATCCTCCCAAACATGCCTGGATCTCTATTTATATGCAAGCTCTGTAGTAAAAGATTATGTCCTGTTAATGATTATCCAACAAATTTATTTAGTTTTTGGATAAATTAGCATCACTACTACTACTGAAAACTTCATCATCACCTAAACACATGATCCCATGCATTTGAAGTGTCTTTTTGGATATCAAAGATCGATTGTTTTTTGAATTATTTCACCTCTTAATTTTCTTATCTATTGCACCCAACATAAACACTTGGTGTATAACATGTCATCTGCGCATATAATAGCTTTCCCTCCTCCAAATTTGGCTGGTCTTCGACATGGAAACTAAGAGCTATCAGCTAACTGAAAAATGTCAAAACCCTACTATTAATTGTATTTTTAACTGGCCTATTATTAATTATTGAGTTCCTAGAAGTAGTGGAGCAGTGCCACTGATTACTCTAAAGCAGTCAGCATCCTGCAATTTTTTCACCCCTTTAATTTATTTTGTTTCATTTTGTTTTCTTTGTTTGCATTCAATCCTCACAAGTTCTTGTGTTATTCTTGTAACAGGCAACAGTGAGACAACCTGTGGTTAAGAACATGATGAAAGGTCTTTTCTTTCAGTTCACCGTAGGAGTTTTGCCATTGTATACTGTTACTTTCATGGGTTACTGGGCTTATGGATCCAACACCTCGACCTATTTGCTCAACAGTGTTAATGGTCCAGTTTGGGTGAAGACAATGGCTAATGTTGCTGCCTTCTTGCAAACTGTCATCGCTTTGCATGTGACAATCACCCCCCCTTACCCTGCTTTTTCTATCTTCTTGGAGACCTAAATGTCCAACCATGCTCCTTTTTCATGTTCCCCTTTTTCAGTTCCTTTGGATTTATTGCTGCACTAAATTTTGAGCTCCATCTTGTATTTGTAGATATTTGCGAGTCCAATGTACGAATTTATGGACACAACTTATGGAATCAAAGGAAGTGCATTGGCTTTTCGCAACTTGTCATTCAGAATTATGGTGAGGGGCGGTTATCTAACAATAAACACATTTGTTGCTGCTCTGCTGCCATTTCTTGGTGACTTCATGAGCCTCACAGGGGCTATCAGCACCTTCCCGCTTACGTTTATCCTTGCAAACCACATGTACCTCGTTGCCAAGAAAAACAAGCTGAATTCTTTACAGAAGCTTTGGCACTGGTTCAATGTATGTTTTTTCGGTTGCATGTCTGTCGCAGCAGCAGTTGCTGCCTTGAGGCTTATTGCAGTAGACTCCACAACTTATCATTTCTTTGCCGATTTATGAGCATCAGTGTTAATTCAATCAAAAATCTGATCTCTCATTGTTGTAACTAGCCTGAACAGTAAAGGTTTTATCATTGAAAAACTTAGTTTCTCGGGATATTTATGCTTCTCTTTTATTTGTCATCTCTTTCATGGCTCTATGCCTAGGGTCCACATTGCTTTTGCCTGAAGTCTGAACTTGTTGAAATGTATTGGAAATAAGACCACAATATTACATATTTTCTTTGAAAGGTGCAAATAACTAGTTGGGATTTGAAAGAGTGGAATCTGAAGTATTTTTAGTGTTCTTTGATAAGTTCTGACTATTTCATCATATGGGTTTTTGTTCTGGAGGCAGAATTTGCAAACCAGTAGAGCTAGGAAATGGTCTCAATCGAGCTACAACACTGTTGTTGCCATTGATGGACTTTTACATAGGCGGACTGGGTAGTTCAAGGTTTCAACCACTGTACAAGGTAGGATTGCCACTGCAACGATATCGTTGTACGGATTCAAAAGGGGATCGTTGTGATTGATGATTTAGTGCTGAGTTTGCAGATGCTTGCACACTTGAATTTCATTGAATTCCAATCTATATTTACTTAGCAATATTGCAATGACATCAATTTTATCCATTCTTCCTCTTTTTCTTCCCATGTTTAGCAGCTGCAGGTGAACTTTATAGCTTGCAAGTTAATAAAATCATCAAANTACTTAGCAATATTGCAATGACATCAATTTTATCCATTCTTCCTCTTTTTCTTCCCCTGTTTAGCAGCTGCATGTGAACTTTATAGCTTGCAAGTTAATAAAATCATCAAAAACCTAATGAAATATGCCACATCTAACAGCAACCACAGCAGCACCATACACATTTTGTCACTCATCAAGAAACATCACCTCCTTAAACCCAAGCACAGGAGGGATACTACAACGGTTTTGCCCAGAATTACGCATGACAGAATTCTAAAAGACGCTTCCCACACTGTGTATCACCTGCAGTGCCAATTGAACACAAGCATATGCTGTCAGCCTGGTGATATAGTGCATGTTCAACAGAATAACTTCAAAACCCTGTTTTCAAATCCGCAAGGCCATTTCAACCAAATAGGAGGAATAAGATTTCATCCGCCTTCTTGAACCATGACAGGAATCACAGTAGCCTCAGTTCACGACACACCACCAATGAAAACAGAATTTATACCTCCATGCCACACTTCCAAATTCGAATTATGTGTTGCTTATTTGGCGGATGTTCGAACTGTAATCAGCAGGAATGCCCTATACCAAATTCTGTGTTTTCTTTTCATTAATAAAGGTCACTTACTGAGCCAAAAAAATAAAACAAACAAACCACCGAAGTTTTTGTCAAGATAGGAGAAAAAATAATGCTCTAGACAATCCACAAAAACACAACATTCCCGGAAATAAGGCGTAGAGGTTCACACATCCACAATGTCCTTACAAACCAAGCTAGCAATTCATCTTAAAATCTTATTGTATGAACTCTACATCTGTTAAATTGCAGCATATGATAAAGCAGGCAGTCAAACTAAAATCTTGGATGAGAAAGTGCAATGTATTTCGACAACATGAAGCCAATCAATCCTCTTTTAACCAATATCACAACCATCTTGTTCTCCTGCCATAAGAAGTCATGGCAGCTTAGTATGTAACCTAACAAGGGCAAGCTAAATAAAAAAGCTATATAACAACATTTCCTTGTTATTTCTAACAAAAATGCTACAGCCCCTCCTGGGTAACCTTTTCTGTACACCTCCATCAATTTGCAGGAGCCTTTCTAATTCTGCAACCTTTGAACTGATTAACACACCAAGTGGTAACAAACATCAATTTTCGTAAAATGTACAAGCATTTTCAATAAAAAAACGTCAGGTACATGAAGAATAAAACATCTACAATCAAACACAATGTCTGCATATATATAGAGAGAGAGAGAGAGAGAGAGAGAGAAACCGGCCTTCCTTCTAGGTTGGTGGTTGTGGACCTCAAATTTCAACCACTTGGTTGTGGGTTCAAGGGCTGGTAGAGAGAGAGAGAAGGGACAAATAAGAACAATGCAAAGGATAAGAGAGAAGAAAGAAAAATATTTCTCAGCTGTTTGTCACATTGAGTTGCACTTTTTCTATTTTGTACATAATAGAACTCTAGAAAAGGAATATGCGGCCTAAGTCATTTAAAACTCTACTTGAGCCCCAACTGCAAGCCTTGCTTACCAACCATTTGAAGCNCACTTTTTCTATTTTGTACATAATAGAACTCTAGAAAAGGAATATGCGGCCTAAGTTATAAGCCTAAGTCATTTAAAACTCTACTTGAGCCCCAACTGCAAGCCTTGCTTACCAACCATTTGAAACATTACAGCACAAAAAACTTGGCACAGGTAGCATCTTAGTCCACGGAGTGTAAATTTTGAGCTGTAAATAGAATGGTGAAACCTACCACTCAACTAGTTCTTTTAGTCTATACTTATGAAAAATCAACTTGAAGGGATAGGAATCATTAGTAATAAAATTCTGCTGGCACTTAAAGCCACAGTTTTTAAATTGACAATAATCCAGAAACCAGATGTATTCCACAAGGAAAAAATAGAAACCTCTTCAAAGATGACCTATCCTTGCCCTAGAAAATGCTTTATATCAATTGCTTGTGAATTTCCAAAAAACTGTAACTAAAACATTCTTCTAATCCACACTAAGCTCCATAGACACATCCAAGTAGTAGTAGTAGAAGAAGAATAAGACAATGGAAGAAGTACAACATTGAACAGTAGTCAAAGAAGATGTTGTAATAGTCCTCGAACTTTGACATACTCAGGCGATATCACCCAGACACCAGCTTTACAATGATACAAAGGGCATTTAGGATTATGAGAAGAACTCTCAAGTACTGAGTTGCATATATGAGACCGATAATCTGCCCCTTGAATGAATTTCTCCTGACCCCTGAGAATTCCTGGAAGCTCCATCCTCTAGGTGCAAGGAAGCGGTCCTCGTTTAATATTGCCAGTGCATTTGCAAGTAGTAGACAGCCCTCCAGCAGCATCCACAAACCCATTTCCTACATGATGTGGGAGCTTAATAATCAGTTTAGGCAAGCATTGGGAAAGCTCAAACTAAAGCACTCGTCCTCGTGTGCACTTTCATATAATTGCAGTGTGATTTATCAAAAAGAGGCAGGCCTGCAGCTGAGATCAACAATGAACAGCCCATTCTCCTTCACCAAACCCAGAGACAGATTCTAGGCACAATTCCTTAAACCGGGGAGGTAAAAGCCATGAAAATGTAGTCATGATATCAAATGAGGCTGGTTATAAGTCAAATATGCAAGCATAATAAACAAAACCCAAAACCCAGAATTCAAAGGTCGCACCGTTGCAGAATGAACAAAACTGCAGACCAGGCCTATTCCTAGCAAGATGCCATTGCACAGAGGAATAAAATTATTATCATCTTGAAGAGCTTATTTCTTATAGATAGGAAGAACCAATGTGCCTACCCAACGCCAATTTCGTCATTCTGATTAAAGTTTTGCTTACGCAAAAGAGAAATGCGATTTACACTATTTTGTTTATAATAACCCACATGTGGCTATTCAACACCATATCCAGGAACTAAACTCCCCAATTACCATGGGGAAGCCACAGAAGGTTCCCTTCTATTCCACAGGCCATACTCCACCAGAGTGAATAAGCCAAATTTTGAAATTTAGTCATGAAATCTGTTAATCTACCGTGCAGCAGGGGTAGAAAAAAGTGATAATACTCAAATGTACAAAATGATTCAGAACGTTGAAGGATAAACTCTTAAGCCTCCGCAGAAATCCGGAATACTGAGGTAACAGTTGATGCCTACACATCTTAAGTCATTTATTAATACAATGCTGCAGTTTGAATACTGAGTAAACGAAACAAAACACAGCGACCTACTAGCTATTCGGGGTCAGCTATATGAATCATTTTCCCTTTTTCTGCCATTATGTGCACACACAAGCGTTTGTATAATTAATTTGGTAACCGACAAATACCACCCAAAAAAATCAATCTTTAAGGCGCCAAGTTGTAGAGAACAGTTGTTCTAGTAAAAGATATTTTGAACCCAGTCTCAACACAAATTGGTTTAGACAATTAGTGAGATTACACCCACATACCGCATATTATTATGCAATAAGATTATCTGGGTGTTAAAAGATTTCTAATTTCAAAGAAGAAAAACAACCACATTATCACAAATAATCACCATTTGATGATCTACAGCAAAATTAAATGTGATGCAAATTGTTTATATTCACAAGATTCAATGATAAATCTGTTTCAGTCAAATTTGCACATAGAATAATCACAAATCAGACCCTGAGCTCATGATTAAAACTTAGGGAACTTAAATCTGAGCCTGAAAAATAGGATTCGGAGAAGATGAAAATGAAACTCACCTGAGAATTTTGGTTGAAAATATAATTAGAGCCGCAAAAGTTATGTCTGAAATGAACCCCGGTTTCAAAGTTTTACAGTGGTGTTTGGTTTGGGAAAAAGTAAGGGAAGGTAAAGGATTTCACTTTCTTTCTCTTTGTCTGTTTTTTTTTTTTGCCGTCTTTCTTCCTTGTGTCCTGTCATATAAAACAAGAACCAAGAAAAGTTGTGGACTTTTTATATTTTATATTTTATATTTAACTTGCTCTCATTGTGAAATCTCCCCTTTTTTTGCTATGGAATAAGGTGGGTGAAGGGTGAAGGGTGAAGNTTTTTTTTTTTTTGCCGTCTTTCTTCCTTGTGCCCTGTCATATAAAACAAGAACCAAGAAAAGTTGTGGACTTTTTATATTTTATATTTAACTTGCTCTCATTGTGAAATCTCCCCTTTTTTTGCTATTGAATAAGGTGGGTGAAGGGTGAAGGGTGAAGGGGCATAACAACTCTCGATAAAAAAAAGGCTCTGAGATTTCCACCAACAATAGAATGTTTAATTTGAGTTATTGTTATTTACTTGTGATCAATGTTTTAAAATTCGGTTTCAACCCAATGGGTTGACCCAGTAAATCGATATCAATATTTTAACCTTGTCGGTTCGCATATTGAATCGTTTTATGTATTAAAAAAATATTTTAAAATTTAATTCGACAAGTTGACCCGATAAACCGGTGACTAAATTGGGGCAATTCACTTCACAGTCTTTCACATCTCACTCGCTTGGTCTGTTCATCAAGTCAAACAAAAAATGACAAAGATCAACCAAGTCAACTTCCGCCTCTTCTCTTCACAACAATCAATTATCAATCTATCAATCGCTACGAGCCTGCTTCGACAATCTCTATTTTTTGTGAGTTTGCGACACAACAACAACCTTTTCTCTTCGACAATCCTAAATCAACAGTCTCTTCTCTCTATTTCTTCGATTTCATTAATAACTATTGATAGTAGGTACATTACTCTCTCTCATTCCATCTCGGTCTCTCTACTCTCTACTCCCTAGCAATAACACGTACATTGCATAGTATATGAATATATGCCCTAATCTACTAATTTGGTTTATAATTTTTGATCTAAGTTGTGTGTGATTCAAGCCAAATTGTTGAAACGAGGGCCAATGTCGAGTAACTTGGGATTTTGTTATTCATTTTAGCTATTGTGGTGCTTGTTGTTAATGTATTTTTTGAATCAAGCAAAGGATATAATTTAATGTTCATTGACTCATTGTTATTATTGTTGTTGTGAAATGACACGATAGAATTTACAACACTACAATAATTTATAATATTGTTGGGATGTTATTGATGTGTGAAATGAGATAATGTTAGATTTATTGCCTTATGTACTTAATTTGTATTAAAAATTAAATATATTGGATATATGTTTGATAATTTTTCTCATACTTAAATTTATATATTTGTTGGTATTATTATAATTATTGTGATTTTTTAGTCTATTTATTATTATTTATTTTTTATTATATGACCGATTTGACCAATGATTCAATGATTGAACTAGTGATCATTGATCCGGTCTCTTTGTCGAATTCATATCCGGCCCGGGTTTTAAACTACGATAAAAACCGAAGTAAACTCGGTAAACCGGAAAAAATCCAGTGAATCTGTTAATCCGGGCGAGTTTAATCAAACCAGGTTCATTGAATTTAGTATATAAATCAAAACATTTTGGCCTTTTGGGCATTTTGGCCTGCCTCGGCCTCCTTCTTGGCAATCGGTGGACGACTGGAGCCCGAGCCTCTGTCTCTCTCTCTCTCGTCTCTGCCCTCGGCAGTAGTGTGCACTACGAGCACGAAAAGGAGTAAGCCATCCAGTAAGGGACTCGATCGAAGACTCGAAGTGGAAGGAACTTTCGATTTCGAAGGAGAAAGCTGCTTCAAAGCTCCATCGAGGCATCGACGACGACCACCAGGAACTAGCAGCAGGTAATGTCATACTCTCTCTCTCTCTCTCTCGATCTATCTACTCTCTGACTCCTGTTGTATGACTCTGCTACATCTGATTTTTGATTTGTATTTTTTATAGATTGAATCTTTGATAATTGATAATGCTATATTTTATACATTGAATGAAGCTTTAATTTTTTATGCATTGGTTTTCTTATCCTTTTGTATTGTTGAAAATCCAAAGTTGATTGTGATTGTAATTGTGATGGTGATGAAGCCACTGAAAAACCTAGAATTATGGGCTCTATTTTTTATTATTTTAATTGTTCATGTAAGAGCTTTGTAAGCTTAATCTATATTTTTAATAATATTGGGATGTTGTTGATGCTAGAAAATTTTAAGCTAGAATCTAGATATATGGTGGTTTTTGATGTTATGGAATGAGATGTTGTTACTTGTTGGGTTTTTTTTATTGGTGGTTTTTTGGTTTTGGATGTTCATATCAGAAAATTATTGTATTTTTTAGCCTATTTATTATTATTTTACCAGTCCAACCAGGATCCAACAGTTGAACAGTAACCCATTAACCCGGTCCCTTTGTTGGGTTAATGTTTGGGCCAAGTTATAAAACTATGCATGAGATGGTCGAGTTTGTCATGATAGCACCATCGAGAGTAAGCTAGATATTCAGCATCTTTAGTCGTAGGAGAACGATGAGCTTGTAAAGAAGCTATCCTAGCATTCCTATGAGAGTATGATGAATCTATATGAGGATCTACAGGTAGTTCGAGATATTACAAGTGGGTTCGAACCCATGACCACTAGAGGAAGGCGGGATTTTCACTCTCTATTGAAGTCAATTAATCTATCACCTCAGTGGTAAAGGGGTGAAATCTCTGCCTATGACAATAGCAACCTGAAAACTATGAGTAGGGTATAGATTGCGGGGAAATCACATATATTTTTAAACATCGACTCAAACTATAGACAATCTCTTGTTAAAAAATTGTGAGTGAGAGGAACGGGCGTTAATCTCATGGAGTCAGAGACTGACAGAGGACTTTAAAGGGGGCACATTGTAAATCATTGGACCACCAACCCGATGTCTTTGATTGAAACTGAATTCTGTATGTCTTTGATATAGTTGGGTCATATGTTTGATTTGTTGCACTATTAAAATAAATTTTATTCTGTCTTTGGTAGTATTCATTTTGGGAACATATGTTTGAATTGTAGTGGAACTCTTGGTCCAAAGAAAAGAAAAGATGATGATTATGTGAATGTGCAAGTCAATGAAATTTATTAGATCACTTGAACTCTTTTTGTTAGATCAATTGAATTCTAGTAGTTGGATGGTTTAATTTGATATCCTTGAGATCCAATTGGTTCACCAAGCATGGGGCACAATGGACTTGTGGAATTGAACTTTGACTAGAAATTAAAATATTTTCTCTTGGGTCAGGCATTTTTTTACTAAGAGTTTCATCTTATATCTGAAGGTTTTTGGATACTAAGTATCCTCCTGCTAGTCTCACAACTTGGCACGTAATCGAGATTAGTAGTTTGCTAAAACTATTTAGCTTGGCACCTTATATGTAGTGGGTTTACCTTGCTTTGAGTTCTCTTACAGTTTTTTTGAGAAAATTTAAAGATGTTTGAACCATGATGTTTACAGGTGTTAAAGAATGGCAAAGGTTAGAGATAGAATGGAAGATTTCAAAGATTCTATCCACCGGGCGGCTTTGTCTTTGGGATATGACGAGGTTTATTTGCTTAAGGAATTATTTACTTTGTACATCTTGTTAATGACACGGAAGCTTAGTCCTGGAGCTAAACTTTAAGTTTTGAAATATGTTGTGCAGAGTCTTACACACACTTTACTCTTTTTCATTACTGATAGTACATTGAATTTCAATTCAATATATCTGTTATTATACAGCAATGGAAGTCCGTGCTGTTAATATAGCAATTTAATGTGGACTGTGGAGTCCAACAATATGTCCAATTATCATGAGATGTATTTTCATTTTTTGTGAAGGCATACATGATAACCTCGTGAAAGTCTCGGCTTGTACACATGACATATTTTAGTTATGTTTGAGTTCATTCTCTTATATGATGTGAAACTCTTAACTTATAGTTTATCTGAAATGGGATTATTGTTTGCAGTCCAAAATGGCAGCCATATTGGCGTGTTTCATCATGCACAAACCTCGGCAAAGGTCATCTTTTACCAAAGCTGCACTGAAAACGGTATATATATTATCTCATGGTCTACCATTTGTATTGATTTTGCTTTTCACTAAACGTTATTTGTAAATTTGATTTTTTGAGATTCATTTGTCTGAAATATTGATTATGCTCTAAAGGAGGCAAATGAAGTCTTTCTTTTTCCCTTTTTTCGAAAAAAGGGAAGTACAAAAGGATATTCACCGTTCATTCGACATACATGTGTGAAATATTTACTCTTATGTATGCATAGATAAACTTGTCTANCTCTCTCTCTCTCTCTCTCGATCTATCTACTCTCTGACTCCTGTTGTATGACTCTGCTACATCTGATTTTTGATTTGTATTTTTTATAGATTGAATCTTTGATAATTGATAATGCTATATTTTATACATTGAATGAAGCTTTAATTTTTTATGCATTGGTTTTCTTATCCTTTTGTATTGTTGAAAATCCAAAGTTGATTGTGATTGTAATTGTGATGGTGATGAAGCCACTGAAAAACCTAGAATTATGGGCTCTATTTTTTATTATTTTAATTGTTCATGTAAGAGCTTTGTAAGCTTAATCTATATTTTTAATAATATTGGGATGTTGTTGATGCTAGAAAATTTTAAGCTAGAATCTAGATATATGGTGGTTTTTGATGTTATGGAATGAGATGTTGTTACTTGTTGGGTTTTTTTTATTGGTGGTTTTTTGGTTTTGGATGTTCATTTCAGAAAATTATTGTATTTTTTAGCCTATTTATTATTATTTTACCAGTCCAACCAGGATCCAACAGTTGAACAGTAACCCATTAACCCGGTCCCTTTGTTGGGTTAATGTTTGGGCCAAGTTATAAAACTATGCATGAGATGGTCGAGTTTGTCATGATAGCACCATCGAGAGTAAGCTAGATATTCAGCATCTTTAGTCGTAGGAGAACGATGAGCTTGTAAAGAAGCTATCCTAGCATTCCTATGAGAGTATGATGAATCTATATGAGGATCTACAGGTAGTTCGAGATATTACAAGTGGGTTCGAACCCATGACCACTAGAGGAAGGCGGGATTTTCACTCTCTATTGAAGTCAATTAATCTATCACCTCAGTGGTAAAGGGGTGAAATCTCTGCCTATGACAATAGCAACCTGAAAACTATGAGTAGGGTATAGATTGCGGGGGAATCACATATATTTTTAAACATCGACTCAAACTATAGACAATCTCTTGTTAAAAAATTGTGAGTGAGAGGAACGGGCTTTAATCTCATGGAGTCAGAGACTGACAGAGGACTTTAAAGGGGGCACATTGTAAATCATTGGACCACCAACCCGATGTCTTTGATTGAAACTGAATTCTGTATGTCTTTGATATAGTTGGGTCATATGTTTGATTTGTTGCACTATTAAAATAAATTTTATTCTGTCTTTGGTAGTATTCATTTTGGGAACATATGTTTGAATTGTAGTGGAACTCTTGGTCCAAAGAAAAGAAAAGATGATGAATATGTGAATGTGCAAGTCAATGAAATTTATTAGATCACTTGAACTCTTTTTGTTAGATCAATTGAATTCTAGTAGTTGGATGGTTTAATTTGATATCCTTGAGATCCAATTGGTTCACCAAGCATGGGGCACAATGGACTTGTGGAATTGAACTTTGACTAGAAATTAAAATATTTTCTCTTGGGTCAGGCATTTTTTTTACTAAGAGTTTCATCTTATATCTGAAGGTTTTTGGATACTAAGTATCCTCCTGCTAGTCTCACAACTTGGCACGTAATCGAGATTAGTAGTTTGCTAAAACTATTTAGCTTGGCACCTTATATGTAGTGGGTTTACCTTGCTTTGAGTTCTCTTACAGTTTTTTTGAGAAAATTTAAAGATGTTTGAACCATGATGTTTACAGGTGTTAAAGAATGGCAAAGGTTAGAGATAGAATGGAAGATTTCAAAGATTCTATCCACCGGGCGGCTTTGTCTTTGGGATATGACGAGGTTTATTTGCTTAAGGAATTATTTACTTTGTACATCTTGTTAATGACACGGAAGCTTAGTCCTGGAGCTAAACTTTAAGTTTTGAAATATGTTGTGCAGAGTCTTACACACACTTTACTCTTTTTCATTACTGATAGTACATTGAATTTCAATTCAATATATCTGTTATTATACAGCAATGGAAGTCCGTGCTGTTAATATAGCAATTTAATGTGGACTGTGGAGTCCAACAATATGTCCAATTATCATGAGATGTATTTTCATTTTTTGTGAAGGCATACATGATAACCTCGTGAAAGTCTCGGCTTGTACACATGACATATTTTAGTTATGTTTGAGTTCATTCTCTTATATGATGTGAAACTCTTAACTTATAGTTTATCTGAAATGGGATTATTGTTTGCAGTCCAAAATGGCAGCCATATTGGCGTGTTTCATCATGCACAAACCTCGGCAAAGGTCATCTTTTACCAAAGCTGCACTGAAAACGGTATATATATTATCTCATGGTCTACCATTTGTATTGATTTTGCTTTTCACTAAACGTTATTTGTAAATTTGATTTTTTGAGATTCATTTGTCTGAAATATTGATTATGCTCTAAAGGAGGCAAATGAAGTCTTTCTTTTTCCCTTTTTTCGAAAAAAGGGAAGTACAAAAGGATATTCACCGTTCATTCGACATACATGTGTGAAATATTTACTCTTATGTATGCATAGATAAACTTGTCTATTTCTACATCTCAGCTTGAAAGCATCGGAGCTCTGGAACAGTTTCTGATGAAGCATAGGAGGGATTATGTGGATCTGCACCGCACCACTGAGCAAGAGAAGGACAGCATTGAACATGAAGTAAGCTTTGGAACCTAAGTTTAATGGGTCTTGCAATGCTTAAAGAATACTTTCTAAAATATATTGACAGTTGTTTCTTCCAATGTAGTCTATGTCTTGTATGAATCCTTTCTAAAATATATTGACAATTGTTGCTTCCAATGTAGTCTATGCCTTGTAATTTTAACAGAATCGGATGGGTTTTGTTGTTGTTAATCTCAAATGCATTATTGTTGAATATAAAAAATGAAANATTTTAACAGAATCGGATGGGTTTTGTTGTTGTTAATCTCAAATGCATTATTGTCGAATATAAAAAATGAAATTATATTCTTTTCTTACAACTAGTCTGCCAAATGCTTTTTGTCTTTTTTTTTTTGTGTTAAATCTTTGATATGATGTCAAAAAGTTATACAGATTTGATTGTAGGAGAAAATAAAATTACAACTGGAAATACGCAGTGTATTTCCCGTGGTTTGATATATTACTTTTGTTGCATGATACAGAGTAAAAACATAAGATTTAAGAATGACAATGATTAGTAACTACAGTACAAAAATAAAGGAAAAATAATATGGTATAAACATCCGAAAGGCAGAGTTAGGAAGTGCTGTTCTCTCATCGATTAATTAAAGCACATTATTGGAGTTAAGAAAGATGGGCATGAAACATGATTAATTAGTATAACTTCCATGAATTAAGAAAGGAAAATTTTATTGGAGTTACTGTAGGTGATCCTAGTCTTGTTTCATGCCCAACCAATCACACTAGTGGCTTTCTTGACTAATGGTTGTTTCACTAAATGATTAAATTTTTAGCCTACAAGCAAATGTTTTGAGTTCTTGAGCTTGAAAACATGTTATGGAAGAATGTGGTCACCTTTATGCAATTTTATTATCTTAGGCTACATGTTATGAAAGAATTTAGTCAGCTTTATGTAATTTTATACGAGGTAATGATTTATTACTGACTTCATGGGCGTGTGTGTGCATGTGGGTTGGTGGGTGGACTGGGGTACTCTGGGGGCATGTGGTGTCTGGGGAAGGGGTGGCTGAGGTTTATAACTTTATAACAGATATTTGTTACAGATGCCTGGAACGAGGCTTGTTGCAACTCATATCAGTTCAATCAGCGGAGCAGAGTTCTGTGGTATCAATTGCTTTTGTTTGCAAATGGAGTTTCATAGTTTTGATGCTTAATGCAATATAGTTGGTGGCATTTAACTGCACATGCATAATGATATTTAAATCATAGATAGTAGTTCGTGATTAAAAATATTTTATCTTGCGATAACAAACAGGAAGGTGCATACTATATTGGATTTGTTTGCATTTTTTTAATTATTAACTCAACTTTCTGCAGGTTACACTCTTTATTAAAGATTGCAAGGAACAGATAGATATTCTCAAGAATGGTATAAATGATGAAGAAGCTAACTCTAAGGGCTGGCTTGCTATTAGGGGTGACAATTCAAACGCTGATACCATAGCACACAAACATGGAGTGGTATGTTTATAGCTTTATCCTTTTACCTTACATCAGAAAGTAAATTTGTTTCTTGTTTTGGTATGCCTATTTGCTGTAACGTCAATGAATATTTGTTTTTCTTCTCTTTTTTTCCTGAAGTGCATGATACTGCACTTGATAAAGAAATTTCAGTTTTGTGTGTTGGTGTTTTAAAGGTGGAGGTTTTTGTTTTGTGGAAAAGGGGGCTCTTGCTCATCTTGGAGGGGAAAACCACCAACCTGTAGGTCGTAAGGGGTTTCCCCAGCCTTGATGTACTGACCACTTGGATTAATACCTCATTCAACTAACCAACCCATCATTGTGTTGTATCTTAATTCCTTTATAAATGTTTTTGAAGTATTTAGGATGTAAATGAGCCGAATAGTGGGTTTTTCTACTTAAGCACTACAAGTTATGATTCTTCTTCTAGTGTTCATGCATAATTCTTTTCCTGTCCTCTGGTTGAGCTGCAGGTTTTGATACTAAGTGAAAAGCTTCATTCAGTCACTTCACACTTTGATCAGCTGAGAGCCATACGTTTTCAGGATGCCATTAACCGAGCAACACCAAGAAGAAAACTAAAGCACATTATCACCACAACAAATTCAGACATCTCTAGACCTAACAGTTTGGAACTCAGTGAGCCAAGCAATTCAGAGGCCAGGGAACCTGTTGAAGTGCCAGAGCAAATTAGTGTCCAGCAGCAATTTTTGGATGATGAAACACGTGCTCTTCAGGTAATATGCATGTTGCTTAAGGACTTCTAATGCAAGTTTCTTTACACATTCGACTCTATTTGTCTTCAATTATGGTTCCATGGGTCACATGTACTGACACCACTTACCATCTTGTTACAGGTAGAGTTGACGAGTCTTCTAGATGCTGCTCAAGAAACTGAAACGAAGATGGTGGAAATGTCTGCATTGAATCATCTCATGTCTACACATGTTTTGCAGCAGGCACAACAGATTGAGCATTTGTATGAACAGGTAGGAGCTAAGAACATCATTTACATTTCCTACNAGATGGTGGAAATGTCTGCATTGAATCATCTCATGTCTACACATGTTTTGCAGCAGTCACAACAGATTGAGCATTTGTACGAACAGGTAGGAGCTAAGAACATCATTTACATTTCCTGCTTATATAACTAGCTCTAATTCATACTCCATCAGGACCTTATGTTGTGGATTCATGTGAGTCTCCCAAGTATTTCGTTCTTGGATTAATTAAAAAAATAAAACACAACTACTTTGTCTTGAATTAATTCATTTGTCTGGTATCTCATTCTCATTTCTCACTACTGGTTTCATGACACAAACTCAACTGAGCTATATCTGCTGTATTACTTTTTAGGAAATATATTTAATTTACACGGAAATTTAGTATGACCACCAAACAACTAATCAGCAATCAAATTGCTGGAATAGTGCACCATCGTCTGCAATAGATTTTAGCCTGGTTGATATGTTTTTTTTGCTGCCTTAGATAAGTCTAAGGGTAAAGTCCCCCATACCCCATGGTTACCACAATTCACTAAACCTTTAACGACCCACGATCTGGGTACATCGATCCGAAATGNATTGCTGGAATAGTGCACCATCGTCTGCAATAGATTTTAGCCTGGTTGATATGTTTCTTTTGCTGCCCATGGTTACCACAATTCACCAAACTTTTAACGACCCACGATCTGGGTACATCGATTCGAAACGTAGTGGGTTCGCAATTCAGATTACTAAAATTGACGACCTCAATTTACAATACTAAACCTAAATCAATTCATTTTAGAACATGTAGCACAAATATAAAATACATATTAATTGACTACATGTATATAGATTTATAATTATATATTATTTTAGATAATAGAAAATCAAGCACAGTTATAAGAAAAATGATAACTAACTTAGTGTTTATGAATGTTTTGCAATATATAATGTTGTATAGTAGTGAAAACGATCTACAGAAGAGTTCCAAAACAAATTGCAACCCAAAATATCGTACCAACTAAACCTACCCCTATCGTACCACGTACCTAAGAAAGTGTCGTACCATGTACCACGTACCAAAGCGACCCACGATCCAGGTAATATTGCTCTGCCCTTTGTGCCCATTCTAATTTGATGAGGAAGTGGTGATACCTTTTTTTTTTTAATTTTACTTCTTGGTGGATAATGAAATAGGAATGTCTTTTGACAGATAGATGCCTGATTAAAAATTGTCAGCTTTACTGATATACCTTCCAAATAGAAATTTTAGACATTTAGGATGCAACACATGTATGTGGGTATTCAAAATGGGGAAATATGCAAGTTTAATGCTCTTGCCAGTCTTATCTACTAGTTGAAGGAATCTAAGTTTTGGTTTTAGACATTCGATTTCCTTTGTCTTGTAAAATGTTTTCGTAAACAAATCCTATGCTTGCACCACCAACTAGACACGAACTAGACTAGCATTCTGAAATTTGTAAGTCATTGAAGGCATGAATACATTAGATTTGATCCACTCTCCCTAATGATTGGGACATTTTTGTATTTGTAAATGCAAACTTTGTATTAATTCTTTTCACCCCTTTTCGTTTGTCAGGCGGTTGAAGCTACGAAAAACGTAGAGCTTGGTAACAAGGAACTGTCGAAAGCCATCCAACGGAACAGCAGTAGCAGAACTTTTCTTTTGCTTTTTCTATTTGTACTCACGTTTTCAATCCTATTTCTTGATTGGTATAACTAAACAAGGCCCCATATACGGGGTTTGACAATTAAAATTTCTCTGTAATCTATTCTATTCCTGCACGACTTTGTTTCCTCACCAGTATCAAGTTGGGAACCTCTGTGAATATGAAAATGAGCAATCCTTTTAAAATTTAAATGTCAACATTATACTATTTTTTTTTTGTAAAATCTGTGACTTGGAAGGGCTGATGAGCACTATNCTCTGTGAATATGAAAATGAGCAATCCTTTTAAAATTTAAATGTCAACATTATACTTTTTTTTTTTTGTAAAATCTGTGACTTGGAAGGGCTGATGAGCTCTGTGTGAAGTGTATTGGGTGTGTGTGGCGAAGTGAGAGAAAATGCATAAAAACCTGAGTGGTTCGACCAGCTCAAGAGTTGGATTAGTCTTGTAATGGAGGCCATTGTTCTTTGGTTGTGTATTAGTTAGGAAGAAGAAGACTTAAGTACAAAATACCTAATAATACTTGAGCCAACGTATTTACTCTCTATTTATATACTAGTGATCGTTATGATTTTCAATTTTCAACCGAATTGTCACATGATTTTTTATATGTGATGACGTGACCTTTGAGAACTGAACTATTCTCTTGGTCTGGATGTATGGGCTAAATGGCCCATTTTTACTGGTATCATCACCTAACAAAAAGTTATAAGGATTAGTTGTACTCCTTCCTAACAATAAGTTCGAGCCTGGCCTAAGGCCGAAGGAGAAACCACCGGTCATGACTCATGACACCCTAACGTGAGCCTAATTAAAGTTTTGGACCTTACGGCCCATGAATATCCTGGGGCCCATAAAGGCCAATTCAACTCCATCAGCACTAAACCCTCGCACTCTCCCCATAAAATGAAGCATCAGCTCCACAAATCGGTTTTACCCTCCCTCAGCCGCAGCGTCTCCGGTTGCTCCTCCAGAAACCCTAGCTNATAAAATGAAGCATCAGCTCCACAAATCGGTTTTACCCTCCCTCAGCCGCAGCGTCTCCGGTTGCTCCTCCAGAAACCCTAGCTCTCAATCCTGCATCGAAAATGGTGAAGGGTCGCCAAGGCGAGCGTATCAGGTCTCAAATCTCCCCGAAACCCTAGCTCTATATCTACACACACACAAGCTTTTATATACTAACATTCCTTGTAATTTGGTGTTTATTTCAGACTTTACGTCAGAGGAACAATTCTCGGTTACAAGAGGTGATTAACGAATGATCAATGAACAATTTCTGTGTTTGTTTGTGTGGATGCTTAGAAATAGTATTGTTTGTGTTTAGATCAAAGTCGAACCAGTATCCAAACACGTCTTTGATTCAGATCGAAGGCGTGAATACGAAGGAGGAGGTGACATGGTACCAGGGGAAGCGCATGGCTTACATCTACAAGGCCAAGGTTAAGAAGGACGGCTCGCACTATCGCTGTATATGGGGAAAGGTCATTAGGCCTCACGGTAACAGTGGGGTGGTGAGAGCTAAGTTCAAGTCCAATCTGCCCCCTAAATCCATGGTATGTTTCGATGAATCAAATTATTAAAACAGATTATTTTTTTTCTGCGGGATTGTATGTGAATGTGGATTTGTTTGANCCCCCTAAATCCATGGTATGTTTCGATGAATCAAATTATTAAAACAGATTATTTTTTTTCTGCGGGATTGTATGTGAATGTGGATTTGTTTGAGAGATTTAAGTTTTGGTGTTATTTTTTTTTTTTTGACAGGGGGCTAGGGTTAGGGTTTTCTTGTACCCAAGCAACATCTGAGGTATTTTCTCTCTTTTGGGTTGTTCCAAATTCCAATACTAGTATGTTTTCGGTTGAGTAGTTTTATGGATGATAAATGAAAGCATTTGTTTGTAAGATAATTGTGATTTTCTAACAAGCGGCGTACACCATTTGTGATACTTCGACTTATTCAGAATGGGTCCTTCTACAGTACCGAAAAGCATATTTCTGTGTTGTACCGCCAAAGTAATTGACACCATTGATTTAATATTTGATGTTTCCTAGTTGTTGATCACTTCACTGTTATTGTCTCATTTTATTTGGTGAGATGCCGGTTACCTGGAGTAGTAATCGAAGGAGTTGGGGTTGACTACCGAAAAGGAGGTAACATAACCCTAAACCCACGCCAAAAGGTTGTAACTCAATCCAGAAAAATTGTTACCTCACTATTTTTTGTAACTCAATCCAAAAAAATTGTAACACCAACTAAAAGTTTATAACTCAACCCAAAAAAATTATAATTCAACTAAAACAGTTGTAATTCAATTTAAAAAAAGTTGTAACTCAACCTAAATAAGTTTAACTATCCCAAAAGTTTGTAACAAATCCTCAAAAGTTGTAATGTCACCCAAAAAATTATAACACAACCCCAAATGTTCTATCATCACTCTAAAAAGTTTGTAATCTTGCTAAAAAAAGTTGTAACTCAATCCAAAAAGTTGTAACCTCACTTCAGAAAAGCTGTAATTTCATTTCACAAAAGTTGAAANAATTGCAACCCAAAATATCGTACCAACTAAACCTACCCCTATCGTACCACGTACCAAAGCGACCCACGATCCAGGTAATATTGCTTTGCCCTTTGTGCCCATTCTAATTTGATGAGGAAGTGGTGATACCTTTTTTTTTAATTTTACTTCTTGGTGGATAATGAAATAGGAATGTCTTTTTACAGATCGATGCCTGATTAAAAATGGTCAGCTTTACTGATATACCTTCCAAATAGAAATTTTAGACATTCTTTTCTTTTAGGATGCAACACATGTATGTGGGTATTCAAAATGGGGAAATATGCAAGTTTAATGCTCTTGCCAGTCTTATCTACTAGTTGAAGGAATCTAAGTTTTGGTTTTAGACATTCGATTTCCTTTGTCTTGTAAAATGTTTTCGTAAACAAATCCTATGCTTGCACCACCAACTAGACACGAACTAGACTAGCATTCTGAAATTTGTAAGTCATTTGAAGGCATGAATACATTAGATTTGATCCACTCTCCCTAATGATTGGGACATTTTTGTATTTGTAAATGCAAACTTTGTATTAATTCTTTTCACCCCTTTTCGTTTGTCAGGCGGTTGAAGCTACGAAAAACGTAGAGCTTGGTAACAAGGAACTGTCGAAAGCCATCCAACGGAACAGCAGTAGCAGAACTTTTCTTTTGCTTTTTCTATTTGTACTCACGTTTTCAATCCTATTTCTTGATTGGTATAACTAAACAAGGCCCCATATATGGGGTTTGACAATTAAAATTTCTCTGTAATCTATTCTATTCCTGCACGACTTTGTTTCCTCACCAGTATCAAGTTGGGAACCTCTGTGAATATGAAAATGAGCAATCCTTTTAAAATTTAAATGTCAACATTATACT